TTCAAGCTCGAAATCTTCATCTTCTCGTATGATAGATTGGCTACTCTTATATCCACCTTATTATTCTTAACAGGTAAGAATCATCATCACATGACCACGATAGGATGACTGCGCCCTCAAGATCTCCTAATACCCACTCAAGAGTACAAACTCTCCAGGTTCGTATGCGTGGTAAATAACGTCACGAGATGATTACCCCGCCCCACAATCATACTTCAGCAATTTTGATGGTGCCATGCAGCGAATCGACAAATGTTGACGCAGAGCCGATCGAACCTGACAATATGGATAGGCAAATCGGGATCAATTGAGTAATGTTGTCAATTATTGCCGTATACGAGAAAATATGTACATACTTTTTTTTGTTGCATGCTCTGAAAACGGATAGAAACTCAGGCGAGTATTGCTTAGTTGCATGGCTGCATGCTTGTCTGGAAAACTCAAAGAACAAGAAGCGACCAATATTATATCTCTATGGAAACAACAGTGCAAAAACTTAAGTTGAGGCTTCCACCTGTTTCATAGCCACCACGAGGTAATAAAAGTTTAAAAAGCGGTAGCAAATGTCATAGTACGCACCAGACTCCCCTGATATCACACAAAAATGTATTGAATACAGTGATACTACAAGATGTCGTTATCAATTCGGTTGTCAATGTTGCAAACGAATGCTCAAAGTCTGTTGTGCCCTCCACGGATGCGGAAGGTACATTAATCTGTCACCCAATAGTCACTAAACTGGTTCCATCAGCCAATAGAGGCTGTACTCTTTCATTTATTTATCGGTTGATCCCGCTACATCGTATTCCATATGTCCCGGCATGCATGATAGTCGAGACCAAACTACCGCAAGATTTTTATTGTGAAAGCCTCAAATACGGCATAAACCCAATATACACTGCAACATATAAACTGCACTTCTAGCAGATGTAGGAGAGACAACGGTTCACATTAATAGTGTGCACAGTGGTGGTGGTAGATGGGTTTTATATTCATTCATAGAACTCCCGTATACCAACGCGCTTTCGTCTAAACCGCGAGAACTGCCCCCAATGATTTCGACACTTACCAAGCTACATACACAGCAAGCAAGCATATTTCTTCCCCGAAGTACCTTGTACGTTATGTCTACAAAATAGTACACACTAACAATCTAACACACATGTGCGACAATTCGCGAGATGACCATCACACACACACCTCTGTGATGGGTCATCGTTGGGCTAGCTGTAGTTGGTAAATTAAAGCTACCGGAGATGCCGTCTACTTTGGCCATCGATCCTTGCGACAGTAAAGTTCGATTAATTCGTCCACGAGCGCTACCTGTTATATATGCCAAGGGATAAACTTAAATATAAATATATATGAGATGTAGTTAAGTGTATATGAACACATATATGTATACATGCGTGCGTGTGCAAGGGACAGTATCATCAGTTTGTTGCATGCGAGTTGCGTGAGGGTAGTGTAGTAGTATATCATGTGTATGAGAGAAGGGGACATGATGAATTGTATGCATGGCGTCAGAGTATTGAGCAAGTAAAGATGAGAGCGTGCTGTCTATGTTTATATATGTGCTGAATGTGGTCGGTTTCATTGCGGTTGGTTGGAGCATGATTTCGAGGCTGATATTCTTGATCATGCTGGTATGCTTGAGTTCAAACTGGGAGAAACATCAAGCGACCACGGGCACCTGTTTCGAAGATATAATTAGCATGCATGAAAAAGTATTACTACGAATAAAGTATAACATTACCTGCCTTAGCGCACATACACCTCTACACACGGACCGGTACACACACAAGCGCACACATACTCGAGCGGCCCATCATAGCTGTTGGTGCAAGGGTTTTGGCTAGCAGTAGGAACACCGGGCATAGACGTCCTATGGAAAGTCTCAACCGACTGACTCAATCGCGAGGAACGTCCCCTATAATCATTGCGTACTGTCGCATTCTCTGCGGATTTGAATAAACTACTTAAGCAGATATATTGCTAGTTTGTATAGGCAAGATCTGTTGATGTACATACCGTCTTTTAAGCCAATACGTGTAGTCATATTCTCTGAACTTTTGAATAGATCACATAAGTAAACGCAGTCCTAGTGTGTTGATAAAAATCTGCTCATATATTTATATCCCACCGTTTGCAGACTTCTGCAATGAATACGCGTCACAGAGGTATATTAATAGATTGTATGCGATATCAGTGTACTAGCAGGATGTTTTTATCGTAGGATGGTATGGATCACATACGTATGCTTATGCGCACGCATACATATGTAAATGGGATCACATACGTATGCTTATGTGCACGCATACATATGTAAATAGGATCACATACGTATGCTTATGTGCACGTATACATATGTAAATGGGATCACATACGTATGCTTATGTGCACGCATACATTGTAAATAGGATCACATACGTATGCTTATGTGCACGCATACATATGTAAATGGGATCACATACGTATGCTTATGTGCACGCATACATATGTAAATGCAAAGTACTCACTCAATGCTTTCACATAAAACGTCCACGACTGATAGTAACATACGTACGTGCACAAGTGACCACAAGCTTCAGGAGTGCTCGACAAACCTATGGCATCGTTATCGTTGCCATCACCAGATTCAACGGAACTGCTCGATTTCTCCGATGTATCGACGATGATGTCCATGTTGGTGCCTGATCTGAGCATACAACGGAAAGAAACCCGAAATCTCAGGGAATTGTATATGCGAGTTGCGCTAACGGTACTATACATTCACAGTGGGATGTCTTGCAATTATGAGCTACACCGATACGACGTACACTTGTAACACTCATGTTTAGAAACAGTTCCATCAATGTCGCTCACAAACTCTCAATCAACTATCAAAAGCATACTATATAGCTTCAGCAAGAAAGAAACTGCGGTGTGTACATATAAACCTATGAATGGAGAATGACATGTGGGTATGCTTTGCACAAGCATAGCACAAGTACTCCAAGCACATGTATGATCTGAGCACGCCTTACCCAGGGTTACCACGTCCATGATCCTGAGCATGTATGTACGTACATTCATACATACATGCA